TAGAAAGAGTGCAGAGAAGAGCAACAAAGATGATTAGGGGACTCGAAGATAAAACATATAAAGAATGGTTGCTGGAATTGGATATGTCTAGTCTTATGAAAAGAAGGACTAGGGGTGAAATGATAGCAATGTTCCCATAACTCAGGGGTTACCCCATTTAAGAGGGAGTCAAACCATTCTCCAAAGCACCTGAAGATAGGACAATGGGTGGAAACTAATCAAGGAGAGAAGCAACTTAGAATTAAGGAGAAATTTCCTGACAGTTAGAACAATTAATCAGTGGAACAACTTGCCTCTAGAAGTTATGAATGCTCCAACACAGGAGGTTTTAAAGAAGAGATTGGACAACCATTCTGTCTGAAGTGGTGTAGGGACTCCTGCCTAAGCAGGGGGTTGGACTAGAAGACCTCCAAGGTCCCTTCCAACTCTGTTATTCTGTTCTGTTACTATGACGTAGATAGGCAGGTTGATTCATATTTTCTTTGCTGAATTTTAATAAGAGAGATAACACAGTTCTTGTTTTCCAAATGGTAAGGGAAAACAAAAAAAGCCTGGCTTGTCGGAGCTGAAAACACCCACACATAGTAAAGCAACAAGAGAAAGTTAAAATCCAGCAGAGGGTTTGAATAAAAGCATTCAACAAGTCAGTTCACCTTTAAAAATAATAATCAAATTAAAAGGAAAAACCAAACTTTGAAAAGTGCCGTTGAAAGCCAAGGTTTGTTTTTAAAAAAGAAACAGCTGAGAGGAAAGATGTAGAATGGGAATTTCTCTGATTGCCACACCAGGAATTATAACCTCAAGGATTCGTCTTCTCAGGAGTGCCCACAGTTGTGAAAGAGTCATCTTGAGTCATTCCTAGATGATCCCATTCGATTTAGGGAGATGGGTGCCACAGAAGCCACTTTGGCAGCAAAACCAGCTGTTTGTCGGCAGGAGAAGGAAATCCTTCCAACCACTCAGCATACCATCTTGGAGGGAACATTTCTGCTGATTTAAATCAAATAAACTCTCATTTTTCCATAATGAAATTAACCCAAATGTTGACTTGCACAGAACTCATTTCATATTGGAAAGAAGCAATTCAGCAGAGATGCCTTTTTAAGGCCAATGTTTGGCAAAATCAAAAGTAAAAATGAACATTTTCTAATATCTCTGCCTGCCAGCCAAAGTTTATAAGTTTCATTTATTCCTGCTGTAGTGTTTTCATGTTATATATTCTTTTCACCTTAAGCAGTATAGATGTGAAAATGTTATGTATTAATAACTGATAGTTCATAACTATGTACTTTCATAGAGAGTTGGCTATGACAGAGTTTTTGCCAAAAAGTTCTGCAAAGGGCAAGATGGGCATATTCACAGAGCATAGTGAAAAACCTCAAGATGGCAGCCACAATAGTATAGTTAAAATTCTGTCAGTGTTTGATGTGCATTGCCAACTTGACGTTTTTTACCACAACCTTGGGAACAGAAAGTACTGTATCATATTTTTTAATTTTTTCATGTATTTATCCTGCCTCTATTATTTTTGTAAATAATTCTATGTGGTAAACATATCTAATACTCCTTCCTTCTCCTATTTTCCCCACAATAATAATCCTGTGAGGTGGATTATGGAAGGCTGGAAGGCTGAGTCAATCTTGAGCTAGTTAGGTTTGAATATTTCATTTAAGGGATGTGTGAAAAAAATATTATCATTCACACATGTGAGCCATTCACTCACATCAAGTTTGGTTATCAAGTAGGAGA